CCCCCCCCCCCGGGGTCGATAACGACGACCAGGTGTGCAGCGGTAGGCTTTCCGACCGAGGGCTGTACCACCTGAGCAGGGTCAAGTCCCTGACCCGCCTGAACGTGTCCCAGAACTTCGGGATCACCGCCGCTGGTGTCAGGCACGTCGGAACCCTTACCCGCCTCCGGTCGCTAAACCTCTCCTCGTGCAACATCACGCCGTCGTCTCTGGACTCCCTCACAGGTGACAGATGTATCCCCTCTGATTTTTCCTGCTGCTCTGGTCTGTTTTTGTTTTCTTTGTTCGTACAAAAGACAACCAATAAACTAATCTCTTCCACAGATCAAAGATTCCGGGGTAGCTTGTATAACGCCACGGTTTTCCGAACAGCGTGCGGCGATATCTATGGTGCATTACAGGCTCAAGAAGATAGTTCGGACTTGCCGTGATCTGGCTTGGTCTCATTTGAGCATGTTTGTGTTGTGGGTGGGTGTCGTCCCTATTTCGTTATTCTGGACGCATCAGCCGAGGTCGGGCCGGAGGTGCGGCTCCTATGTCGTCCGTTTCCACTCAAGCATGCTCAGGACGGTGCACCCCCTGCCTTTGGTCACCCCCCCAAACGTTCCCGGCAACCAGCCGACCCCCCATAGTGTCGACGGTTTTGTTGTTCTTTAACGACAACCATCAGGCCGCGCGCACGACTCGCGTTACCCCGGCTTTGTCGTCGGTCGCTTTTTCTTTTGTTTTCTGCTATTTGTTTTGTGATTTATAGAAGTAGTGTCTTCTGTTGTCGCCATCGTTCTTTCGACCACGCTTTTTGGCTCTCTTTGCCTCCGTTTTCCCCCCTCTTTCTGTCCAATTAAAAGGTCTCGTAAATCTGGAGTCTCTGTCGGTGTTCGGGTGCCGGCTGGAAATGACGGATCTGGAACTCCTGAGGGAAAAGCTACCAAACCTCCGGGTCGTGCGGGCTGCATGAGTCAAGTCAGCTGGTTGTTTTGGATAAATCACCCGAAGAGAAAAGAAGAAAAATGTTCACAAAGGACAGGAAAACATGAAGTAGCACAGGACAACTTGGTCGGAAATAAATCAATCTCAGCTGTCGGAACCCGGGATACCGTTGTTCAGTTGTCAGAAGCCAGAATACCGTATTCTTTGGTGACACGCGGAGGAGGAGGAGCACGGTTTCGTTTTGTACATTCCGTGTGCATCATGTTCGTTGCATGTGCGAGCGGGCGTCAAGACGTTTTGGCGCAGGGTCTTCGTGTAAATGCACACCGTAGTCGTCAGACCATTGAACTCAATGCCAGGACGATGCGATGTGCTGGGTTTTCGCCGGCCCAGGCTACGTTTCACAAAATATCAATTTCTGAGACAGGCCGTCAAATACTTTCTTGCGTTTGCTGTTCCAAACCAGGTGTGCCATGGGTTGATTGGGGGTTGGTCGGCGGCGCTGATTGACCGTGTCTTGTCTGTCCAGCCCATTAGCCGGCAAGTAGTTCTCGCAGGTGGTACCGTGCGTTGGGGTGACTTTTTTCTTTGAAGTTGCTCACCGAGCATTGTCTACAACATACAAGAGCAGCATCACACGAAAAGGGTGTACAGGGGTGACGTTAGGTGGAGGGTTTCTTGGGAACAGCGGCTGGTCGGCGGGAACAGCGGCACTCGGCCGCGGTGTTTTTTTTGCGCGAGCAGGACGAACGGCTGCTGTGGTACTGTAGTACTAGGCAATACCGTATATGACACAAGATAACACACCCCCTGGACCGATTTTCAAAGCTCGATTACTCCACGACGAAGAGGATGCATAAACGAAACGATACATTTTTGGAAAGCTATCGACGAGACGGTTCCATCGCCGCCGTTTTTGGCGCTGTGACTGTTCCTGCAGTTGAGAAATCGAGCTTCGAAAATCGGTCAAGGGGGTGTGTTATCTTGTGTCATATACGGCGGTCAGTATGGAGTTGTATCTCGCGGGATAGCAGGTCACTACCGTAGCCTGCCGCACCCGACAAAGGTGGTCACAGCAAGTAGCCTCTGCGCAGGAGGTGGCGTTTGTTACCTTTGTGACATGCATGGGGGCACCGTGGTGACAACGTGGTGTGTATGTAGTAGCGTTGGGGGGCTATCGCGTCACGGTGCTGATCTAGTCTATCTCAATGGCGCTGGTGAGGGTCGTTTCGTTCTTGTGTGTTGTGTGTTTTCAGAGGAGTCGTTGGGATAATGTAGCAGACAAGGTTCTCGTCGTTTAGGTCTTTTTTTTGTTTGTTTTTCAGAGGAGGAGTCGTTGTGACTATGTACCAGACAACCGTGGTGTCCTCTAGGTAGTTTTTACGATAGACACCTACCTTGTTGGTTCGGGTTTGCCGAAGAACTTGCGCGACCACTGTAAATATTTCACCGTCGTATGGATACAAATGGGCCATGCAAGCTTGTGTGGGGGTGAATCTGTTTTTGTCGCCAAGATTTCCGTTNGGGGGGGGGGGGGGGGGGGGGGGGGGGGGGGGGGGGGGGGGGGGGGGGGGGGGGGGGGGGGGCGGCGTTCGTTGACTCGTTCCTTCACCGGTGTGCGTGCGTGGTGTGTTGTTGTACCAACGCGCGGAAACTGTCCTTGACCCTCCGTCAGCATTGTTGCTGTTCTTGTCGTCGGTCTGCGTTCCCACATCCAGCTTGTTGTCGTTGGTGCGGCGTCAAAGTCCCGCAGAACAATGGCATTCATTCACTCGTTGCAACAAACTTGTGAGGCCTGCTATGGGTACGTTTGAGGGGAAAAGCCTACGCTTTTTTTTTTTCCCTGTACATTCACGTTTTTCTGTACCGCCAGTTTAGGTTCTTGGAGGACGGTAGTTGATTTTGCCGCCTTGGTTAGGAAGGAAAATAGTGGTGACCGAAGCATTTTTTTCTTTTCTTTTCGTGTGGAAATGTATGTGAACGGTTTCGAGAAGTGAAAAGTGAATGTTTTGATATATATTATTTTCGTTTTTTTAGTGAGGCCATATCATGCACATGTGGTGTTCTCGTGTACATAGATATCGTGTACATAGATATATCCGAGTTGGAGAGAGAGAAAATGAAAGTGAGCAACATCTGGGAGGCCCGCGGGGGGACAGCAGTGCGGTTCTCGGCAAAGTGGACACCGTTTGTTTTCGTGAATCAAAATCCGCGATGCACAAGAGGTTGAAGGTGTCTTCGTGTACATCTATATTATATATCCGGGTCGGCGAGAGACAAAGCGACAGGGAGTGTGCACGAAAAAAAGCGAGTCCCTCGGTGGACAGGAGTGAGCACACGGGGGAGGTGAGAAGCAATCAATCCCCTCCATCCACCTGGCGCATCAGCTCTTGTTCTACCGATTGCTATTTGGTGGTGCCACAGAGAGGCCCCGAATGCCTCGTGTCGCCAGGTGCCTCGTGTCGCCAGGAAAGCGTTCTTTCATTTGCGCCAGTACGCCATCCCCCCCCCCCCCCCNCCCCCCCCCCCCTACGTTCGTATTGTACAATACACGTACATACCCCACATCCCAAGGTATGGGTGGCGACGTTGAATACTATCTAGCTGGGGCGGAGTGTTCAACCCCCCCCGGGCTGAAACTGGTGTGAAAACGTCCCAGCAACTGCCATCTTCCCCCCCCCGTACATTCCCCCTAGTTGGTCCATCCGCCGTGCCCCTCTGCTGAGAGAAAGAAGCACCGCATAACGAGAGAAAAAACATCGTCTTCAACACCGGGGTACCCGTACGCTACTCGATGCCACCTACAGCGCAGCCGACTCCTATCAAGTAGCTGTTGCACGAGTAGCCCTGATGCGGCGGGGCCCCCCCC